TCTTTCCCTTGGGCATTGTCTTGAATGCAGTGTCAGAATGTCAGATGGATTTACTTTAATAATTTTTTCCCTCCAATTTTTATTTTAAATTTTCCTTCTATCACCTTTCAGATGTCACACTCAATGATTTCCTTGGAAAGAAAGCACCCAAAAGAAGACACTGTACAACAGCTCTGCTTAAATGCTGATCTTTTTCTGTAGTATTTTTGAGCTGCATGTATTACCTGATGTTTAACCTTAGATCTTGCAGGACCGTCCTAAATATGTTATTTTTGTAGGCTTCTCACTTGCAAAGAAACCCCAACAAACCAACATACCCAGCCACCACCCAATCAAACAGAAAAAAACCCAGGAAAATATTAATTATCTGTAATACTATAAGGACTATTTTATGCTACAGTTTGCTTTTTTTTAAAAAAACAACATAAATCATATTATTGTGTATACATTTGTAGAATTGAAAAGAGAAAATACAGACTCAGACCAATAAATCAGTGAATACTAAATCAACCAAAGTAACAATCAGTCCTAAATACCCTTAATTGTGAAACGAGTGGTTTCATTTATTTAGAATATAGCAGATTTTAATACTTGGCTAGCCTTGCCACTTACAGAACATGATGAAGGAGGATGTGTGCTAATTAACTCCTTTGGAAAAGGAAATAACACACTGAATGAAAGGAAATAATATTCTTTTTTTGAGGTGATTTCCATGTATATTCTGGCATTCTTATTTGAAATTTGTCCATTTTCCTACCATTTCCAAAGTATTATAAAACCCATGGGCAAGGTAAATTTACATCCTTGAAATCACTAAGTCTGTATGTGAATTACTGTAGAAATTATTCCATGATACATAACTTAAATTCAGTTAAAGGGGAACAGTGTATTGCTACATATTTTAGTACAGAATCTTTTATCCCCAAATGTATTCACCTTTTCCTTAAAGTGTAATATTTAAATACAACTTGTGTGTTAAAATTTGGAGTTAGGTGTTGTGAATGCTTTTAATGGTGGTCTTTAAAAAAAAAAAAAAAACAAACACCAAAAAAACCCCCAAAAAGCCAAACCCTATTTGATTTTTCTCTGGCAATCCTGATAAGACTTATAAAGCCAAGAAGAGTCATGCAAGCGATACAATGGCTTATCTGTAGCTCCAGCAGTTGTGGAGGGCATGTGACATTCAAGAGAGAAAAAGGAACACAAAACCATGTCTTTAAGCACAAGTGGTTTGGAAACAAGATGAAACAGTCATCCTTACCCTGCTGGAACTTGGCTGTCCAGGGGGTGTGGAGAAAGAGGTGGCTGGCAAGAAAGAAGCATGAAATATGTAGAAATATATACTGTATATATAGAAATATATACTGTACTCCCAAGGGATGGAATATCAGCCTTTCTTCCAGACTTAGATACTATCTAATATATCATGGAAAAGCTACACAGCTTACTTCTTGCTTGGAGTCGGAGTTGAATTGCAATTTACAACAGTCATTAGTGCATGGCTTAATGTTGTAAGGAATATTCTATTTCTTACTAAGATAGGAAATATGACTTGGGCTTTCAAGTCTTCTGCCAACTGTCTCTGGCTTTTGCAGAAAGGGTAAACTGAAAAAGCTGCTGTCACATGTGGGTAGCAGGCATGAAGTGCAGTTAATGATCCATGATAAACCTGGATAATAAGCAGAGATGGAGAAGGTTTCTCCCAACTAGAATGAGAACTGGTGTTCCTTGGAAATGACACATTTCTTAATCATTTCGGTTTTGGTATGAGAAGAATCAAATCTATGAAGACTACTGTGGGTTTTTACCAGAACTTCAGGATTCAATAGCTGTATATATTCATGAGATATGTGCAGCAGATTATTTGGCTCATCTCAGTATAAACCAATTAAAGTAAAATAACTGGAAGGTCAAATGTTTAATCATGTCAGATTAATTTCTGTTAAATTTATTTTCAAATACTGATGTGTCTCAGTTTTCGTTATACATGCTTAATGTTATGTGGAACACTGAGTTTGTCTGAATACTTCTGTCATATGCAGAAGGTCCTCAAAATCTAGCTAATATATAGTGATTTCTTTTGTATCTCACTTTCATCTAAAATCCAAACTATGGGTTGGCCACTTTGAAAAACTAAAAGCTAAAAGCAGGATGTGAAAAGCTACTTTCCAAGTAAGCCTCCATTTAAGATACGGATTAAATTATCAAGCCTTTTCACGGAAGTTAATAGATTGTAAGAGTTTAACTAATTCTTGTTTAGTAGAATGAATTGCATATCGCACTAAGAAAGAGTGCTTGTGGAGCAAAGTTTTGGTAGTGGAGGGGCTACAGGGGTGGCGTGATGGTAATTGGTGAGTGATCGCTCCCTGTCCTTATCTCAACCTTTTGAGCCTTTTGTTATATTTTCTCTCCCCTGTCTGGCTGAGGAGGGGAGTGATAGAGCGGCTTTGGTGGGCACCTGGGGTCCGGCCAGGGCCAGCCCACCACAGCCTTTTAAGTTTTTGTACTTGCTGGTCTGTTTTAGCTTTGTAAATGCTATAATATATTTATCGTTGTACAGGTTGTATAGATATAGATGATCTATGAATGCATAGATTTGTGTCTAAATATTATTTATATTGATTTATTCTCAAATGGATAGTTAAGACAGAGACATATTTAAATTAATGAGATTCTTCAAAGACACTAAACTTAGGTCTCTTTGAATTAAGAAACACATCACAAACTGTTGCCAAGGGTTAATGTTATTTAAGAGGCTAAAAAGCAGTCTTCCTGTTTGTTGCCTTCAGAGCTTGATAGAATTTCTGGTTAAACTAGGTCATAAAGAAATCAATAATTTTATCTAAATTGCTTTTGCTTATCTGGTTATAGTTCTGTACAAAATAGGCCAAATACTCTTCAGGAATTTGCAACAGGCAGACAATAATTTCTTGTTCAAAATAAGTCACTGCTAAATTTATATATCCATATTAAAGTATGCACAATTTTACAAAACCTACTATGGTGTGCATTTGTAAAATTCAGCAGAAAGCAAATATTTTTCTTTAGGAAATGTCAGTACATATTGTGTAAGCAACAACAGTTGTAGTTAATATTTCTGTGAAGTAAAAACACTTTTAGATTGTAAAAACCTAAGTTCAACACTGATAGCAGTTCTTGAACTGATGGAAATAAGCTAAACAGAGAAATCATCATTAAATAATTATCTAAGGAATTATTTAAATCTAGAGAACTTTGCATACATTGTTTACATTCAGGGTGTTTGTTGGGCTGCCCTTAACATTTTCAGGGCGGCCAGAGATCTGAGGTAATATGGGGTGTTCTCGAGACGCATTGATAAACATGGTTTCAGAAATGTACCTGTACTAGAAGTATAGAGGGAATCGGAGAGATGATAAAAATATCTCATTTTTCTATTCTAGATGGAGATGCATGTAAATGTTAATGGATTGATAGATATGTTAAAATATTCAAACCTCATATTTTAATGCTGAATGTGAATTCTGAATACTGAATGTGGGTTTCTGTTGCAGTATGAGTACTTCAATGCTGTGCTCATAAATGAACGTGATGAAGAAGGAAACTATCTGGAGCTGGGGAAGGAGTTCATTCTAGTGCCAAATGACCACTTCAACAACTTGCCTGTGAACATCAGTCTGAGTGATGTCCAAGTACCAACCAACATGTACAATAAGGGTAAGAAAAGAGCTGCTTTATTTCATCATTCATTCCACTGGCTGAACATAGGAACTTCCTTGTTTTTAAAATGAAGCTGTTGATTAACCACACATTGTGTGTGTTTTCTAGTTTGCAATTAAACTGAAACTTCAGCGGAATAATGCTTAAAGTATGACAGTTTTGTAACGTCCTTTGTTCTGTGGCAATTTAGCAATTGAATATGGTCAATGATTTGCACATTAGACTTGCATGAATTCTGCCATAGAATATGGCAGAATATGTTTATTCTTATGAATTATTTTCTGGAATCTCTAAATCAGTTGATCACATCTTACGTTGTCACTTACAAGTTACATTCTGTCTTTGCTGAGAGCTAGAACTGTATCTTTGAAAGATACAGGGTAGATGGGAGGGGGATATTTTATTAGTTTTATGCTCTCAAGCTTCTGGGAATAATTCTAGCTGTGTATGACTGCATACACAGCTGCTGTGAGTTTTCAGATAGTATTTAGGAGGAATAAACTACATTAAAAGTTCTATTCCCCTGACTATTTATATGTCATAGATGCTGGATAGCACATAGCACTAAAAAATAGCTACATTAGCTATTATGACTGATGGACTTAGGTCTAAAAGTTGGGAATGCAAGCTGAACTCAGGTACATGCTTCCTCATTTTCCTTTTGCCACTTCCCTTTGACCAGACAGCAGAATTTTGTAATTTTACTGTGCTTATGCAGCACCCATCTATTTATTTTTCTCAAGCCAGTAATAAAAGGAAAAATTAAGGAGGAAAGCACCAAAGTTTCTGAACAATGTCTACTGTGTATTTGTCATTGGTCTGTAGAGAGCTGCCTAATCTCATCATCTGGTTCCTCTTCCTTGTTTTAACTATACTACAAGACAGCTAAAAATACATTAAATGCTTTCCTTGTAATACACTGCAGGCTAGCAATTGTGGAAATTCATGGAAGGATATCGTGCAATCACAAATGGAAGGAGAATTAATTTGGATAGGGTGGGCTGGTAAGAGAAGCAATTGTTATGACAAATTCTCTTTGAAAATTATGATTCAAACTTCAGAATCTTGAGAAGCCACAAATTGTACAGTAATGTCTTAAATTAGGAATTACAAAATAACAAAGCTTCCTAGAGAGAGTATTTGAAAGGTTGTAAAATGATTAATATGGGATATTTTGAAAAGATTTGGAAAATGCTTAAAGCTTCTAAAGCTACCAAACCTTTTTCGTTTGTTTGTTTGTTTTGTTGTTCAAGGGCTAATATTTATTTAACTGAGCCTGCCTCTAAATTAATTCATTCCAGAATTGCTAAGGAGGGGAAAAAAGGAAAAACCAGTATGGTTACAAAGGGATATAGAGGTCAGGCAATCATGTTTTTCTGATGAAGCAAACTAACCTGAGTAGGTAGGTAGAGCAGTAAAACTAAAGGACCTTCAGTTACATGATGTGTAGTACAGCTATGTATAGAATACATTTTTAGATGCTGATTAATTACAGTTAAAGACCAAAGTCAAAGGGCTTGTTGCATATTGTTTTGGCCTCTTAATACAGGGACTGCCTGTAGAGATGGGAGATCTCTCTGCAATGATTCCTGTTTCCACTTTGCCTAATTCAAACCAGCCAAAATCAACACTTTCTGCAGCTGCAAAAAACCCCCATTTTTTATCATTTAAGTGTATTCCAACTGCTGAAATTTGGTTTCTTGCTGACATTTTCCCCACACATGGACTTGATAGTCTCAGCTTGGAGACTGATAATGTCTGGAAATGTTACTCTTACCAAGAAGAGGCCTGTACACTTATAATTTTTGTTGCCCATTTCTTGAGTTTTGTAATGTGGAGGGCTGATAACATGTTAATTAAATCCTAGCCTGAGGGTACAGGCAGTAGATATTGATAGGTTTACAACTTAGTGTCTGCACAACACCATTTCTCTAGAAAATTCGTCTTGTTTGTTTCCAGGTTATGTTTTATTATATTGAATTACTAGGCAAAACAACAGCCTAAATTCACAGTTGAAAACAGACATGTGTGATCAAGTCAGCACAGAAGAATGAGCTTTTAATTTGTGAGATTGTTCTAAGGTCTTTCCTTTGTTTGAGTTTTTTCAGTTGTAGAGGTATTGATAATTTGCAATGGATTCAGAGAATCACAGGACTCATCAAAGAGTTGAAATATGTGCCTTGGATGGAAACACTCCAGGAGCTCAGTCCATTTAGCTTATTCAAGAGATGATTAAAGGATTAATTAGTTGATCTCTACTTAATTACTAACACCAAACTCTCTAATCTGGTTGCCAAAAGTTTAAAAATATCCAATGGCTGAAACTGGGTTCCATTATTTTGCAGATTGCACAAATGTGGGCTCAGATAATGTGGGGGGTGTGTGTGGTGGTTTGGTTTTTTGTTTTGTTTTTTAAATGAAGGTAGTGGCTAATTAGAAGGTTGTCATCCTATGGCTGTCCCTGCAAGCCCTTAATCAAGACCAGATTCTTTTTTGTTTGTTTTTGAAATAATACATAGTCTAGAATTAGTTTGCAGAAAAAAAAAACTTTGGCCTGGTCAGCTTGCATCATCATGGTGATCCCTCTTAGCCATAGAATCACTAAAGTGGATGTTCAGAATCCCTAACTAGGCTCTAAATGAGGCTTAAAAATCATGGGACATAAATACATTGCTATTCTTTATATATCTTCTACCTCTTTCAGCCTCTGCACAGAAAAGCTTAAAAATGTTGATGGCAAAACCAGGAATAAATGATTCCCATTCCAAGGAAACCACCAAGTTTAGACTCTGAAAATAAAAAGCAAAAGCAAATTTCATGACATTTATGATGAAATCAAGAAAACTGAATTACCATAAATATCAAAAGTATGATATTAAAATTTAACATGGAATAGGAAAATAAGAGCCAATAAAAAAGGCTGCCAACCTAATTTGTAAGCATATGTGTAACTCTAGGGTCATCTTTGAGTACAGATTGCATGCACCTACTATAAATGTAGAACGAAAAGTAAATAAGTGAATTTAATAAAGAATCACAGTTTTGCATTCAAAATACCCTAGATCATCATCATAAAATATAAATAGTTCGTCTGGTTATTGATGTGGTCTTATACTTGTCATTCCCCTCTTCTGCAAACCCTCATCCTCTGATTTCTCCATATCTTATGTTGCACATCAATTAATGTCAAAAATAGAAAAGTTACTGATCTTTGGAATATAAAGACTATGGGGATCAGAAAAATAGTATTCTGGCATTCCTATAATGTTCATATACTGAAGATATTCAGGGAAAAAAATAGTGGGATGATTGTGCTTTATAGATATCTGTCTGTCAATCCAGAGACACCTCTCAGCTCTAGGCTGTTTCACAGCGAGGATGGCAGTCCATTTAAACTGCAGAACATTCTGATGGAATTGACCTCCTTTATTTTTCCTGAAAATGACTGCTTATGATAATGTTTTGCTTTTGAAATGTTTAAGCACACATCAGGATTCTAAATCTGTTTGTGCATTCTATTTCTTCTCTTTAAGCACAAAGTGTATTCATTGCCTATAGCCACAGGATTTTCAAGGCAGTATCCTTTTAAACAAAGAATAAATAATTAAGATTAATAATAATTAAGAAGTTCTGTCATAACTGCCTTGGCAAGCAGTAGCTCTTTCTTCCATTCACAAATTTGATAACTGGCAATTATCAACTGTGTACAGATTTCTGGCAGAAAGTAGGGAGAAGGGTGCTTAGTGAATTAATCATATAGGTATATTCATAGATGAAACAGGAAGGGAGGAAGAAAGTTACTTTTTTCACATTAGAAGGAAAGTTTAGTTTTGGAAAATACAGAATCAATCTGAAACTAGTTTGGAGAATGCAGCACCAAGGCAAAAGTCCAGGTATGAGAACAAGTGTGTATAAGGCACTAATTCAGCTGCTGTTGTTTTTTTAATAAACTTTATTTACATGGGTTAGATATGAAAACTTGCTTTGGTGCTGATATTTCTTATTTTATATCTGTCTCTATTTTAGAATGTAAGTGATTTGGGACACTCCACTGTCTCAGACATATCTTGTATACATCCTTCCATAGGTATGCCTTCCAAAGATACTCAGATACACTTTTCTACATATCAATTGGTATATTTTAAACTGCTATTGTGAAAAATGTTAATAATAATGAAAAATGATTAATGATTTAAAGTTTACATAGTTTCAACCTTTGCTTTATTACTTTCTGAAATATGGCACCTGTTGAAAAGTGAAATATAGCATTGTACAGTACCAGAAGTCACACACAGCAGGATCTCATCTCCTTACAGTAACGTTGCATAAAACCTAGGAAATTCAAGAGGATGTTGATAAATACATTATCTCAATATCAACTGAAAAGAACTTCTGTTTTTGAGCTTTTGCAGTCAGTCTTTGTTTATATGATAAGGTAAACTTTACATTTGTAGTTTGTAGAAAGGGGAAAAGCCCAGGTTCTCTTTTTTTTTCAATACTTCAGAAATTTCTAGAGGCAAACACTTCTCCTTGCCTTTTAAACTATCCTTTGTATTGTACCTTTCTGGTTTTTCCCTTGGGTCCTCAGAATTGTGGGCTTTTGTATTTTGCAAATTTTACTCTCTCATTCTCCTAGTATTCTTAGTAACTAAAAAGAGACTAATTCACTAACTAACATAATTGACTAACTAATTTAGCTGTCATTGAATTCTTCTTTATCAAGTACTGGTGCAAACTGGAGGGTTGGACTCCTTGAAGTCAATGACATTGTTGCAAAATCAGTATTAAACTGCAGTTGCCTCTTCTATCCCTAGGAATGCAAACAGGCAGCTACTTAGATACATCGCAGCAGGCACCTGCCCATCTAGAAGACTTTATAATCCTTTTCCATTTCTGGGGAATTACTGCAGCATTTCTTGAATATTTCTGGAACTTGGACATTTCCAGAATAACTGTAAAGTGTAAGAATTCATAGTAATTTATAAGGACAGTTGACG